AAGACATCGACGGTTCCTCAATTCCAAGCACAAATTTAGATTGCAACGAATTCGCTTTGATGGAAAACAGGAGAAGAGAGATCCTCCTGTTACTTTGTCTAGTGTGGATATTTTGCGGTAGTTAGAAGATGTCAATGTCGAGTTTGGTAAGAATGTGGATCCCGAACAACTAGGACGACAATCTCGTGGGACATCTGATGCGCAACCTATGCAATGGCGAAAGAGAAGCATATTTTTCACTCTTCCTTTTTGGGAATCTAATTTGCTATGACACAGTTTGGATGTTATGCACATTGAAAAAAATGTGTGCGATAATGTGCTATATACGTTGCTCAACGAAATTGGAAAGTCCAAAGACCATCTCGTAGCTAGAAAAGATTTACGGGCCTGAGGAATTCAAGAAGAGGCTTGGCCTGATGAAAACGACAAGTTTCAACCAACTAATTCACCTTGATGAAGCAGAACAAGGATATCTTCCTTTCGATGGTGAAAAACATAAAAGTACCTGATGGATATTCTAGTAACATCTCAAGGTGTATCGATCTGCAGGGTCGAAAGGTTACTAGGTTAAAAAGTCATGACTCCCATATTCTTATGCAACAGTTATTCCATTGGCCTTGAAAAACACACTTGTTTATGATGTATCAATGGTTTTGGTGGAATTGTGTTCATTTTTCAAGAAGTTGTGTGCGAAGGTCTTGATAGCAAAATAGCTTAATCAGCTGCAACATAAAATAATTCTTACACTTTGTCACTCGGAGATGATATTTCCTCCATCATTCTTCACTGTTATGGTTCACTTGACTGTCCATCTTGTTCGAGAAGCAAAGGTTGCTAGCCCAGTTCACTACCGATAGATGTACCCTATAGAGAGGTACTAGATTATCTTTTATCCCCGTCTCTTTACATTTCACATTGTTATTTCATTTGCTCGTAATTATTGATGGAATATTAACCTACAGCTACTTGGGAAAATTAAAATCATATGTTAAGAATAAGGCGTGGCCTAAGGGGTCAATAGCAGAAGGTTATTCCAGAGATGAGGTCCTAACTTTCTGTTCAAGGTACTTTGATGACATGGAGACATCTTTTAACTGCCCACGTCGCATAGATGATTCTTCTCCTAGTCCTTCCATGTCAACTTTATTTCCTCCTGTCAGGAAACCAATTAGAGGATATGAATTCTTCAGACTCACTCCCACGGAGAAACTCCAGGCATACAGACATATTTTGATAAATTGCAGCCAAGTTGAACCCTTCATGCAATAAGTATTATATAAACTCACTAACTTTTACACTTTATATTTGTTTCTCACTGACTCTTCTAACAAATTACACTTCACTGTAGTGAGTTTAGAAGTTACCTCAGGCGGCAACTACGGGGGCGTGTGCATTCTGCTGACATTGATAAAAGAGTCCATAAAGAGTTTCCTGGTTGGTTTACACATCGAATACATAATGACAACAACCCATACACCGATGAATTTAAAGCTCTTTCCCTCCGTCTATTAGACCATGCACAAAAGTTTACCACGTATAATGTTAACGGCTTTAAGTTCTGTATGGTTGGACATGATCAGGGATTGCTCACACAAAACTCTGGAGTTTGCGGGACATTCGAGACGAGATGTTATGCTAGCAGTAGTGACGGCGATATGCGCTTTGGAGGCGTCACTTACTATGGAAAACTAATTGACATCATTGAGTTGAGTTACCAACTTTTCACCGTAACTCTGTTTAAGTGCTCCTGGGTAAATATGACAATTTCACGGGGACTCGCTATTGACCACTTGGGCATCACCTCTGTTAATTTCTCTAGACTTATTCATGTAGGGGAATCTGAAGATGATGAGCCATATATTTTTGCTTCTGAGGAACACCAGGTTTATTATGTCAAGGACAAGAAACATAAAGACTGGAATATGGTCGTTCACCTCAAGCTATGGGATCTTTATGATATGGGTGATGGTGACATTATTTATGACAGTGAACCCTTCAACCCCGAATTTTGAAAACTTCTTTCCTTAAGGAGACGATAATTTAGCAATTATCAGGTATATGTCTTTTCTTAAATTATTTAAATAATTAACTACTAATTGCTAATTTTTTTTAAATATATTATAATTCTAACATAATTTTTTTAATATCTCCTTTCAGGCAAGATGATGATCAAGAATAGTAGTTTCAAAAAATTTATCATTCAAAACATTTGTCTTTCATAAATAAATATTATAAATTAAAATTAGTTCAGTTTTTTAAAATGTAAAACCACTACAAATACTAGCGGTTATATTATACGCTAGAAAATACAAGGCCGCTACAAAATGAATTAAAATGCTGCAAAAAAAACTGCTACAAATATCTCGCTAATCACTATAAATACTACATCACCTCTTCATTCATTTACCCCATCTCTTTTCCTTCCTCTCCCCTTCTTCTTTATAATTCTCTCTTTTTTTCTTATTCTCTGATATGGTGGTTTTTTTCTTTTCATTATATGGTAAGGTGATTTTCATTTTATAAGTCTTAATATCTTTTATTTGTCTTTATATATAATTTACTAACATATTTATTTCTCTTTTTCTTTCAGATTTTTCTTCTTCACGTTTGTCATACCCTCCTCAACTGATTCAAGCACTTCTCAACATAACGGTTTAGGTTCAATATTATAAACTATCTCATCCTCAATTCAACTATCTTATTAAATTAAATTCACTTTATTTGACACAATCATGACTTAACTACTTATTATTTATTATAAAATTCAAATGTATAACATGTAATACATTGGTAATTATACATATTAACAAAAATTCTCTAATATAATCTACTTAATGGTTTTAAATTTATAATATTATATTTTTTAATAATCAAACATCTCTTTTTTTTTTTTTTGCCTAGAATAAATTTTCTGGCAGTTCCCAAACCGCTAGAAAATGAAAAAAAAGATGGACAAATTTTGTAAAATTTAAATTTGCCGCCACATTTCTAGCGGTTCCTAACCGCTAGAAATTATTGGCACCAATTCCAAAATTTTGTTTCCTGACAAAATTTGATTTCCTCCAAAATTTCTAAATGTTATTAGCCGCTAGAAATTTTTGGCACCAAAGTGAAATTTTTTGTTTCCTGACAAAATGAAATTTCACTCAGAACTTTCTAGCGGTTAATGAACAGCTAGAAATTTTCGATGATTTCTAGTAGTTTATAACCACTACAAATTTCGTCTTATTGCCGTTTGACTACTTGTTTTTTCTAGCGGTTATTTTAACAGCTAGAAAGTTTCTGGCGTTTTGACCATACTGTGTAGTGGTTCCTATAACTACTAGAAATCTATTTCTTGCACTTGATGTTTTAGCGGTTTGTCTAATCGCGAAAAATGTTATTTGTTGAGGTTAAAACTGCTAGAAAGGACATATTTTAACCGCTATAAAATACATGTTTTTTTGTAGTGAAAATCTTTAATATGTGCAACTATTATAAAAACTATTTTGGAAAAAAATGAGTAAATTTGAAAGATGAAATAAATTAGGGTCTTATATTTAGGACCAAATTAAAATTTAAACAAGCTCTTATATTAAGAACCAGAGGTATTATTTAAATATGAGGTCGTGTGTTTGACTTTCTATAATTGTAATACATGCGTGTAAGTTCCTTTCATTGGATGAACACATCAAAAAAATAAAATCCCACAATGATTTGCATATATTTATTTATTTTCATAAAATATGTTGAAGATAATTTATAAATAAGATTAGATAAGTTTAGAAAAATTATTTTACCTATAACAAGTAACAACACATCCCATTGGATTGATCGAACGGCCTCCTACAGGCCGGCCACGCCGTTAAATAATCCAAAACATACGGTTTTGAACTCTTGACCTTTTCTTCCTCGACGGTATTGTTTTTTAAAATGACAAAAACATATATTTAATCTTTTAGTTTAATATAAAATTTTAATTTAGTATTCAAAAGGTATATCTTTAGTTCATTAACCTTAAAATTCTTAGTTTTAGCTCAAAGTTCCTTTCATTGGATGAATACATCAAAAAAATAAAATCCCACAATGATTTGCATATATTTATTTATTTTCATAAAATATGTTGAAGATAACTTATAAATAAGATTAGATAAGTTTAGAAAAATTATTTTACCTATAACAAGTAACAACACATCCCATTGGATTGATCGAATGGCCTCCTACCGGCCGGCCACGCCGTTAAATAATCCAAAACATACGGTTTTGAACTTTTGACCTTTTCTTCCTCGACGGTATTGTTTTTTTAAAATGACAAAAACATATATTTAATCTTTTAGTTTAATATAAAATTTTAATTTAGTATTCAAAAGGTATATCTTTAGTTCATTAACCTTAAAATTCTTAGTTTTAGCTAAAAAATTTTTTGGTAAGAATTATGATTGTCTTGAAAATTATATATAATATATTTTAACATTGAGAATGTTTTATCATTAACCAAAATCTTAATAACAATTTTTTTGTTAAAGACTTTAGAATTAAATGGCTAAAAATATATTTTTTTAAGATTAAAAGAGCAATTTGAAACCTTATATAAAATTAAAAGACTAAAAATATATTTTACCTTTTAAAATTAAAAAGTAGATCTAATAACCCGAAGCGATAAACGGAATCGAATTTGTAACTTCTCCGGTGAATGGATCCCCCGCCCAATGTAAAAAATGTGTAGGCTATGCAGTTCTCAATATCTACCATCGGATGGATTCATTGGTCTACCCCGCACACCACGTCATCCACAAATTGAAGCAAATCTTGAGCGCTTGTTTGTGATAATCGTGTTGGTTCATTTCTGGCTAACCTCTCGGCATACTCTCTCTCTCTCTCTGCCTGCTTTTTTATTGGTCTAAAGCATATTCCACCGAGTTCGTTGTTCAAGTTTCATAGTAGTTATAAATAATTAACCTCTCAAGCAATACACAGGCCATTGCTCAATCGTGACCTTCCACAATCTGAAAATCTACAACTTTTTCATTTCATTTTATGCTGTTCTATGGATCAACTTGATCAGAAACTTCTGGATCTTATTCTCAGCTAGTGAAATTCCTCTGTGTATCATAATGGAATTGAAGTGGCCAGATATTTTCCTGGTAGCAACATGCGCTTTAGGCACTATCACCCTTTTCAAAGCTCTGATCTCTTTTGTAAAATGGGTGTGGATTATGTTTCTGAGGCCACCCAAGAATCTTAAAACCTACGGCTCATGGGCAATCATTACTGGTTCCACCGATGGAATTGGGAAAGCTCTTTCCTTGGAATTGGCTTCTAAGGGGCTCAACATCCTTCTGGTTGGTCGAAACCCTCAGAAGCTCGAAACCACAATGAAGGAGATAAGAGACAAATATGGTGACCAAGTCGAAGCGAAGCTTGCAGTGATGGACTTTGAGAACGTTAATGGAGAAGAAATAGTGAAGAAGATGGAGGAAGCAATGGAGGGTTTAGACAACGTGGGTATTCTGATAAACAACGCCGGCATGGGAGAACCTTATCCTAGGTTCTTTCATGAGAATGATCCTCAGATTATTGATGCTGTCGTGAAAGTGAACCTGGAGGGACCCACTTGGATGACCAAGGCTGTGATTTCAAAAATGATCAAGAACAAGAAAGGAGCCATCGTCAACATTGGATCCGCTTCCGCTTCTGTAGTTCCTTCCTTTCCCCTCCACACCACTTATTCTGCCACAAAAGCGTAAGTTCTGACAAATCAACCCATCATTAAAATTTAAACATCAACTATTCGTACTTAATTAGTTTGGTGTCACTCATTATCAGCTATCAATCTTGAACGGGGGAGATAATTCTTTTTCTGATATATATATACACACATATGAAATATGGGATTTCGCTGATAAGTTAATTCTCAGAAAACGTCCAATCAAACCATCTGTACTTACCTCAATAAAAGAAGTGCGGGTCTATTCAAAGAGAAGAGATTTTTTTTTATCTCAATCCAAATTCAAAACTAAACAAGTCCGAACTAATTGAATGCATTCTTGTTGCTGTTTCCTCAGGTATGTTGCGATGTTGTCGAAATGCATGAATTTGGAGTACGAAAAGCAAGGAATTGATATCCAGTGTCAGGTGAGTAATTAATTAAGGAAGAAGGTTCTGAAACATATTGCTAGGTTTTAAGTTTTGATGATGATGATGATGATGATGATGAGAGGGACAATAATTAAGGTTGTATTTTTTTTTTTTTTCGGTGGAACATATATAGGTACCACTGTATGTGGCAACGAAGATGACGAAGATGAAGCCGTCTCTGTTAGTTCCATCTGCAGAAGTGTACAGCAAAGCAAGCAGTGCATGTATTGGGTACGAGAGAGAGTGTGTACCTAATTTGGTTCATTCTCTGCAGAGACTTTTCGTTCGAGAAGTACTTCCTCATGCCTTCTGCGATTGGTTTATCATGCGTGATTTTCTTGCCCTACGCAAACAAACCCTACCTAAGGATTCCAATGCTTTATGATTGTAAAAGTAGAGTGTGTGGTTTTTGGTTAGTTTAGATCTTAATTATCTAATTCTGTACTTTTGAGTTTGTCTAATTTTGTCATCTGTTGTAATTCTATATGAATGTATGGGAACCAAGAGCTGCCCTTATATTTATTTTTTCCTTTAGTTACCGGGAAAATGGTAGAAAAATACTGGTTGAATTTTAAAAAGATAAATAGGTCATGTTAACTACTCATGTAATGGTTTTGAATGGTTTTTACTATTCAGAATCTGTCAAAATCATCTATTTATTTTTTTAAAATTTAATAGGTATTTTTCTGTTTTTTCTTAATTTTTTTCATTAAAAACTCTCAAAAAAATATTACTTAAATTTCAAAATTTCAAATCGGGAATTTTTACAAAAATATTTTCTCATTTACTTTTTAGCTGTAGTCAATTGCTATTAAAGTGTAAAGAATAAAACTGATTTGAAAATTTGAAATTCAAGTAGTATTTCTTTTTTGTGAAAATTTTCCTTTTTCTATCTGGTCAAAAAATAAAATAAACTGAAAACTGATGGATACAAGGGGGTGGTGGTGTTTTTGGCTGCCTTTTGTCTTCTACGTCCATGTCCACATGCCTGGTAGTTAAAAGCTGTTAGCCCAATATCACCATACTTGTCCATATGAAACTGGTTTCTTGAAGGTTGCCTAAGTTCTTTCATGTTTGTTGTTTTTTGTTTTGGGCGAAAGTGACATGCCCCATCAAGCCTTTTTTGAAAACTACTCTATCCATTTCCAAATAAAAGAATAGAAAATTAATTTTTAAAGATTAAAAATTATGTGTAAGTTTTTCTAAAATATTTAGTCATTTATATTAAAGGCTGTCTCTTAATAAAAACTCACTTGATATATGTAATCAATAAGAACATTTTGAAAAAATAATAATAAATTTGGGAGCAAAAAATACATCAATATTTAACATTTAAGATCAAAATAAATCTCATCACTAGCTCTTGTATGTTTAGAACAAATGCCGTATATTTTTCACTTATAAGGTATACTAAAACCAAAAATCTTCCACACGCACATTGCGCTAAACTCCCGAACCGGCTGGCTAATTCTTTGGTGGCATTTTCATCTCTTCTATTTTATGCATAACAAACGTGGCGTTATTTTCAGAATTTTATCCCTTAATTAAATCAATATAATGCAGTTAATAACTTTTTTTGGGGGAGAGAATTATGTATGGGATATATCAATTAGGGGAATTTCCATGATTCTGGTCCTCATCAACTCATTGAGTTGACAAAATTTGGGACGCTAGCCAGCATGTCTCCTTCTTTCTTTGGTTGAAGGTATATTGTTTACATCCCAAGTAATTCTCAAAACAGAAACAAATTTGATTTCCCACTTTTGGTTCACCAAACATGCATAATATTGATCTCACATTTACTCCAACATATGTACGCAACCAACAAATTGTCGCATGTGAGAATCAAATTACCGTTGAGAACACTTGTTTCTTTTATTAATAAAAAATATTATCAAATTTTTTTTGGCCAAACATTAAATCACATTAAATAAAAGTATAGTAACTTGTTTCATTATTGATAATTCATAAGCTGATATTCTGTTCTTGTGTGTGTGTGTGTGTGTTTTTTTTTTTTTGTTGGGTATTTGCTGTATTAAGTGAAAGAGGATTAGGGAATCGGATATATGTGATGAAAAATGGCAATATTGAACTTGATAAAATAAACTGAGATTTGAATAAGCATCTAATAAACTAAATATTCTCTTTCAATCTCCTCTCTTTTTCTCACTTCATATGTAGAATCCAGATTTCACATAGAAACAATCAATCCAAGTCCAAATGGTTGAGACAATCAGATAAGCTTTACTCTCAGTTATTAGAAAATTGGTACTAAGTCCAATTAAATTATTGATTGTGAAAATGGTTGTTGGGTGCGGTGTCCCAGCATCAACCCAAAGCAGAAGTAAATACTATATAGCTGTATGGGATGAACCGTGTGGCTTGTAGTTTGTTTCGTCAAACGTGGTCTATGTTTTGTTTAAAAACAATCGTTGTTTTTGTTTCATAAATGTTTTCACATTTTTTAATACAATTTTCAATATGTACTTATATGCTGAATATCAGTTTAGGTGATTAAATTATTGTCAATGGATTAAATGATGAAGTTAAACTTCTATCCCCTAATTAAACTGAAATATATTTGATTAATAGCATATACTCCTTTGGTCCTATTTATAGGGGATGGAGAAGACATTTTTTGGTCCTATCTATAGGGCACTAAAAGAAATTTTTTGTATCAATGTACAATTTTACCCTTCATTTGTTATTGTGTTGACTTTGTTTAGATAAGGTATAACATATATTAAATACAGATAAAATTGAAAAGTCATTGAATTTTAAATGAAAGTTAATGAAATTTAAGGTTTTTCTTAATCTATGTGAAACATATTGAAAGTGACTTACAAATAAGATCAGAGGAACAGTTCATCCACAACTTCATTCAACTACTAATTAATGATAGCTTCTCTCATACGATGCTTATTAGAAGTAAAATTAATGATAAATTAATAACAAGACTCTGGCAGGCATCTGCATTTAAACTACTTATTTGGTCTTATTTATAAGTCACTTCTAACATGTTTCATACAGAACAAGAAAAACCTTAAACTTTATTAATTCTTATTTAAAATTCAACTACTTTCTAACTTTATCCTGAATATACATTATACCTCATGCAAACAAAGTTAACACAATTATAAATGAAGGGTAAAATTGTACATCTATATAAAAAATTTCTCTCAGTGCCTTATAAATAGTACCAAAAAATTTCTTCTCTCTGTACCTTGTAAATAGGAGCTGGGGAGTATGTCATACATATTCTTTTATAAAGGAGGGGGAGATTTCCAGGAATTCAACTACTGTGGCTATAGATGGCAATGGAGTGGCCAGAGATCTTCCTAGTGGCAACATGCTCCTTAGGATTCATCACTTTTTCAAAAGATTTCATCTGTTTCGTGAGGTGGGTGTGGGTTATGTTTTTGACGCCACCAAAGAATCTCAAAACCTAATGTTCATGGGCTATCGTCACTGGTTCGACGGACGGAATCGGGAAAGCCATTTCATTTGAACTGGCTTCCAAAGGACTCAACATCCTTCTTGTTGGTCGAAACCCTAAAAAGCTGAAAGCGACATCGAAGGAGATAAGAGACACACATGGCGGTCTTGTAGAAGTGAAGCTAGTGGTGATAGACTTTGAGAAAGTTAATGGAGAAGAAATAGTGAAGAAGATGGAGGAAGCAACAGAAGGCTTAGATATTGGCGTGTTGGTGAATAAAGCAGGCATGCAAACCCTTATCCAAGGTACTTTCATGAAGAAGACTTCGAGTTTGAGGAAGCCATTATCAAAGTGAACGTGGAAGCAATAAAGTGGGTCACAAGGGCTGTGATTAAAGGAATGATCAGAAAGGAAAAAGGAGCCATGATCAACATTGGTTCTGCTTCTTGTGTTGTAATTCCTTCCTTTCCACTGCTTACACTCCATGCTGCTACAAAAGCGTATGTTTCTTCTTAATCTTCATGCACTCAAAGGCTTTATCTTCTACTACGGCTTTATTTAAGATTTTATGTTTTACGACTCACTAGTTTTTATTCATATATATACTTGTCATTTTCACAGATACTTTGGGATGTTCTCAAAATGCATTGGTTTAGAATACAAAACACAAGGAATTGACGTGCAGTGTCAGGTTCTCTTGCTCTTAACCTTCTTTGTAATTGACATAGCTTGCTACTTTTTTAAGGGTTTAATACCGTCTTTAATTTATGAAATTTAATTGCATCTTGAATATAGTCCCTGAAATTTGACCTTATTTTAGTCCACTTAAAGATTTGTGATTCCAAGAATAGTGTTCTTAGTCCCTGAAACAATGTTTTAAGGAATTAAAACATATGCTAGTTTCAAATTTTAAAGACCAAAATCAAATCGACTAAAAACATATACTAGTTTCAAATTTTAAAGACCAAAATCAAATCGATGTCATGTTTTAAAGACTAAAAATTATATTAACCTGATTTATATCTTATATGGTGATGATATTCGAGTTAAATTTACACGTACCAATGTTTGTATCAACGAAGATGACAGAACTGAAGGCGTCTTTAATGATTGCAACGGCTGAGGATTATAGCAAAAGTTGCATCAGATGGTTTGGATACAAGGAAAGCTTATGTGTGCCCTATCTTATTCATTCTCTACAGTGCCTTTTGATCCAAATGTTTCCTGATTCACTCCTGAATAGCTATCTCATGCAAACTCATCTTTACAAGCGCAAAAGAAGACTCGCCAGGTATTCCCAAAATCATCAAGAACTTATTATGCATGCCAACTAATGATTTACAATAATTAGAATTTGATTAGATGGTCAAGGAAGGAGCAGACTTTGGCTCTAAAATCTGCATATTGTTTACAGCTATATGAACATACGGTTTAGATACACTCTATGAAGATTAATAAAATAACAAATGATTCTCTGTTGTTTGTGCTGTTGCTATTGATATGGAGAAAGGAGAGATATTTGTATCATTTGAATGCAATTTAGCTTTATATATATATATATATATATATATATTTGATATGATTCTTATTTCTAGGTAAGGGACGACAATAATGATGTTCTAAAATAAAAATAAGTTTTTTAGAGCAGTACTTTGAAGGCACTAATATATATACATGTGTGTGTGTGTAGAGAGAGAGAGAGAGTAAAGTCATATTGTTACTGATATGACATGATTACAGTTCCGGTCTCGAGAACAATTATAAAGAACAACGAGAGACTAATTAACGAAGTAAATTAAACTGAGGGTTAAGAGGCATTTTGTTTTCCTCTAAATCATTTTGCCATGAGCATTGGTTATCCAAAGCTATTTCACAAGGAGCATGTGTTATCATAAACTATTAATTGAAACTATGTCACCCCTCAAGTATAAGTCATTGCAATCATACTTTCACTAACGGATATTTACATTGAACATTAATTTTATACTACCTCAATTTCTTAATATGATAACTAAATAACTAATTAGTGAATACTAAGAAAATTAATTTAATTACTTATTTGTAATAATTGAATATTATC